CTTCTCATCGTGGCAATTGCGTTAACTGAAAACCAATGTCAGAGTGTTTGTCAGTTGTGTTCAGCCAGATGCGTCAATCCATTGACCATCTGTTTGTGGAATGCACTTGGTTTGCCTACTGTGTGGAAATGTTTCTTTAAAAGTGCGGCCATTGCAGAGACCAAAGCATGCCACGACCTTCAAAACTTATTTGGCTTGCAATATGCAGTCACCTTTTTGCCTTTAAATCTGCGGTGTGAGTTTTGCATGTAATGTAGTGCCATAATTTTGATGCGTTCTGCGCATATGCGAAGCCTACTATGTGCATATATAGTTTATATATACTTGATCTATCTATATATATATATATAAACACTTTTAACTACACCTTTATAATCACACCGTTGCACACACACACACACATATATATATATATATGTATGTACATATAGTTATATTTTGAGTCGTGGCGTGTGCCTTTCCTGTCTTGTTGAGTGCGGCCGCTGGTCGTTCATTGGGGCATTTTCGCACATATGGTGGGATCAGAGTGTCCCCCATACCATCGTCGTGGATCGATCCGTCCGATGAGCGGGTGATATATAATAATACGCAATATATATATATATATATATACGTATTTAAAACTATTCATATACTTATACATATATATATATATACTATATAATATGTACTTATACTTAGATGCAGTAATAATATTTTCCACATACTATATATATACATAGTACGTGGCCCTCGACCTTTGCGTGCGGAGAATCAGATTGCATCGGATCGCTGGTCCCCTCCGGTGTCGACCACTTTTTCTTGGTCCGGTCGCCCTAAACTGCTGAGGTCACAGCTGTTGAGGAGGTGGGTTTTGGCTGGTTTTGGGAGGGGTTGAGAGTTGCCAGAGTTCTGGCAATATGTCAGCAATGACCACGGTGGATGATTATACTGTATCTAGTTCAAGTCACTTGAAGTACTGTAGTGACTGTAATGTTAGTGTTACCTCCATGTCGGAATAGTATGCACCAACCTTGTTTAGCTTTTCAATCAAGGGGGATTATTTGATTCAGGCCAGGCTTCATGGCAGACTGCAAGGCATCAAGTCGATGGGTTGACGCGAAGAAATCCAGGAGTCATATCATATCATCCATCCAGTTGGCCTTAGGAACTTCATCCGTTTGCTGTAAAACGCGGAAGTGTCAGTGGCAGTTGCTGGGCAAAAAGATCCAAGAACTGGAGCTGGGAAGTGGCCCTTGGGCTTCAGGGATGCGCCTGGCAATCTTGTTCCGCTGCAGAGAAACAAAAGCATGGTCCTCCAGTACTGGGGTGTTGGAGCATCAAAGATGGGATCGGACAAAGAAACTTGCGCACTGTTGATCAAGGACAGGCATGTCCAAATCAAGAACCGAACACGCACCAAACAAACTGTCATTTCAAGGCCCCTCCACTCTCCAAGACCCATCAAGACCCTCCTTCCGATGTTTCAGTGACATGCTTTGGACTTTGTTCGTTTCGCTGCTCATGCGTTCGCCTGCTTGCCACGGCAATCTGGGCCTATGGCTCAACCACTCAACCATCAGCCCACAGACAGGGCTGAAGATCCTATGAGATCCCATGAGTTGACATGCTTCGGCCAAACAGCAAACCGCAAAGCCCTTTTCTTCAACCACTTGAAAAGCAAAGGATGCGCCAACCCCGGGCCAACCCCTCATCCGGGCAGTCCGGGCCCTCTGGGGCAGTCCCAAGGATGTGTGCATGGAGAAGAAGGAGGATCCATGGTAAGATGAGCTACGTCATCGTTAGATATTGTTATATAGTGAAATCCGAGTTGATTCATATGCTGAAAGGAGCCAATATGAGTTGAATATAGACATAGACAGAAAAGATCAGAAAAGAATCACAAGCTGGAAGCGTTCCAATTCCGTGCACCTGGTTGGTTAGCGTTCCAACGCACTCGTGTTCCTGCAAGTTTCCCCAAAGCTACCATTCTCGACGCTGACAAGTCAACCTTTTGGGGCCGAAGTGAAATGCTGAACGCCGGTGACTTCCGTGGTTGGCATGCGTTTTCCATCGACCGTGTTTCTTTTTTGTGGATCGTGGTTGGCCAAGAAGTAACATGAAGTAACTAGAGGTTACTAGAGGTATTTCAAAGTTTTTCTCACATACCTAGAGATATCATCCGCAAAAAGTGAGATAACTGGCCACCAGTTGGTGGCATTTCCTGAAGTAGAGGTACATCCACACGGAATATTCCACCAATCGCCATCCGCATCGCCATCCACCACCCAGCGGTTCGTCTCGCCATCCGCCACCACGGTATCGCCATCCGCCACCGCCATTCATGGCGGATGTGGACACCGATGTGGACCGGACGTGGTACACGGAAAAGGCGCGGTACACGGATGTGGATGATGGGGCTGTGATGGTCTTTACCCCCAGGCCCTTTCGCAGACGGACCACCATGGACCAGGTTTCGAGCCCGTGGTGGTTTCGACCATGCAAACCACACACCAAGCGAGTGGTTCTGGGGGTCATGTTAAACTGCAGGAAGTCATTCCAGCAAAGTGTTTTAGGTGGATGTTTTGGGCTCCCAACGAAGTGGTATATATTGTACATACTTGGGATGATTGAACCCACTGACTAATATACACTCCTAACATTGCCCTCTAGATCAGCCGCGTGAGCAGTCAATGGGTCCAATCAGGGGAGATGCGGAAAGCCCCAAGCTTCTTGTCAATAACCAATACATACAAACAAAACAGAATTGCTGTACTGACGGCCAGTGTTTCTGTGTTCGAAGGCAGCTGTGTATTTGTAACTAATTATATGTTGTTCTTCCGTTTTTACAGTCCCAGCAGCAAGGCTACAAAAGCTTGCATGTACTTTATACGGTACCGTGGAGCTGTGGATGTTTTTGTTGATGATTTCATTTCATGTCTTGAGTGTCATTGCAACGTCTCAACCGTGAAAACCCGCGTGCTCTCGTGCACTCACCAGGTGACGCGCTTCCACCCAGAGAGAGGATGGGGCTTCTTGGCGCTGATGAATCGTTTAGAACGTTGGATTTCTGGAGGCTTTTGGTCCAACGACTGTAGCGTGTCAAAGGTTTTGGTTCGGAAACTCATGCAGATGGCACAGAATTCAATCAACAGTAATCAACATCAATCCAAGAAGAAAAGCTATTGGAATACTGTATCCAATCCAACAAGAAGTGCACATATATGTGACATTTTTGGGCAGTGCCCGAATCCATTTGACACTGCCTTGCTTGGATATTGGTTTCTTCAACCCAGTGAGTTGGATGGACCAGTTCTTGTAATATCTCCCCAGGGATCCACATATTTTCTCACAAGGTATTTACTTGGTTCATCTTGGACCCTCCGAGCCTACATAAATTGTCTCCAATCACCTTCTCAGAAGGTACGTGAATCCATAATTTCTTGTTAATATTGGATGGGCGTGTCTCCATGTTTTGCGGTGACCTTGTTGAAGTTGTACATTGGCGTGATGGGAATCCATTCAAGATCCCATGAAATGGTACCGATATCAGTGGCAGACGTCAAGACGTCTTTGTGCGACTTTCAAGTCATGTAGAACCTTGTGGAAATGGCTCCGCATCCAGTGGATACATGTGGATCCAGTTCTGTTAGGAATGATCAAGAGCTGAACAATTTTATTCCCCTATAGTCTTGTCGGATTTCCAGGATCCGCTGGGACATTCGGAATGTTGAAGTCCTTCTGGCTCCAAGTCGAAGACAGCCATGTCGCTGCGCCATAGTTGGTTGATTCTCCTCCTGCTGGCCGCTAGGGCCTGTGGCAAAGGGGGTTCTAGTGGTGGCAGCGGCACGGGTTCTAGTGGTGGTAGCAGTGGCGTCGGCAGCTCTGGCAGCCATGGCGGCGGCAGTGTTGGAGGAGGTGGCTATAGCGGTGGAAGCTCCAGGACGGGAACAACTCGCCCAGCTGACCGCACTCGTTCGCTTCGGATCACTTTTTTGTAACCGTGAACCACTGGTTGGTTGCTTCCAGGCGCTTGCTTCGACAAGAGCTACATGGGGATGATAATTCCAAATCATTCCATCAGAATGAGCTACAAGCCATTCTGGCATTGTTGCACATGCTGAAGATGCAAATTTATTTTTGAATCAGATGGGGTTCAACAAGTGTTTCCTTCGGTGCCAGTAACGAAAGACATAGGGGCGAGCCAGCTCAAGCTCCGCACATTTTGCCTGGGTTGTTGTGGTGTTCTGTTCGTTGTCATTGCACTTGTGTGGTTGTTGTAGGTTTGTTGTGGCCTTTCTTGCTTGCTGTTGTAGTTGGTGGTAGTTTTGTTGCTCCCCTACCTTTAGGGCACAGGTTTGCAGGCTCCAAATATTATCTCCAAACATCTCCAAACATGTCACCCAAAGATCTCATTCACTCGGGGGGGCGTGTCGTTCGCAGTCTCCCGGCAATTTCTCGTTCCCGGGTCGCTCGATTCTTCTCATACGTCCTCGGAAGCATCTTTGCAGGAGCGGGTACAGTACATCGCACTCGCGCACCAACTATGTGTCCGCTCATAGCTATGTGACTACCGCCGTGTGGTTGCACGCTGGAAGCAGAAGAAGATATGGCCAGTACCATGCATCTTTGGATGAACATCATGAGCGTTTTTGACTGCTTCCAGTAACCTCCCTATTCCAGGTCTCACCTGCTTTGGTTCCTTTCTGGGAATCGTCGCGGGTGACTCGAACTGAGCGTACTGGCCTCAATAGAAGAACAGACCGTGAAACAGACACACAAACACCCGATGCTGGTTAAAGCAGTTCTGACATGGACATAGGAGCGATCGGACGCTACGTTCGGGGCTCCTGGCCTTACTACTAGGAACAAGAAGCTACTAGGGGCTCCTGGCATCGCTACTAGTAACAAGAAAATAATGAGTTGGAGAAAGAATTTCCATCTCTTGGGCGGGTCATTGGCCCAACCTCGACAGCCTCGACCGCCTCGGTCAAACCGCGTCCGCCGTGGACGGTCACCGGCGTCGGCGTGGACGGGTTGGTCACCGGATGGTCTGAGGATGGTCAGAACTCACTCCAGCAAGCCATGCTGGTGTAGGCTGGCCACTAGAAGCCTGCGATTTTGGGGGATGGAAAACCTTCTTTTTGTGGCCAATCTTGATGAAAGGGCCCCCAGTCTGAGACATTCACCAGCCAAATGCAAGTTCCCAGGCATGTTTGGGTTGAGGAGTGCCATGTCCCAAACCTTTGTTTGAGTCTTTAGGCTTGATTTGTAGTAGTAGTTGTGGTATTTTATAGTCCATGCAGCTATATTAGACAAGCAAATAATCCAACAACCACCAGGAAGGGGGTCATGGAGTCCTACTATATCGTAGATTCCATATTCCGTCAACTTAATGGATTGAATGCCTCTCAACTATGCACATTTGGTGACGATCTCGCGGCTGCTTCCATGTTTGGAAGCCCAAACCATGCACCATACCGAGTGTGGGGTGTTCGGTCCCGTCTCGGGATCGCTGTCGCGCCGAGACATCGGACACGGCATCCACCTGTTCCATGCTGCCAGAGCAAGAGGCCGTGACGCACTATAAAGCACCTATTTTGCTGTGATTTGCTGTGGAAACCTTGAGATGACTCGAGTCATCTCCAATATTCTGAAGTTCCTAAAACGAGCGTGGACTGCCTTGGATCAACGGGTTTGAGCCGAAAAGAGGGTCAACAAAGGGGCTTAGACCTTTCTGAGCGGCAGATTGAAGCATCTGGGCAGTCTCCAGGTGGTTGGGTATGCGTTTGACAAAGGCAATCTTCAGATGAAGATCCAGCCAATCAGTGATGTTTGAGATTAAAGCTTGATTCCAGTCATTCCAGTCGTGAAGAGACCAACTAAGGATATCAACAGCACATGCTCAAACCTCATGGAGAACGAGACGGACTGCCATGCGTGCATCGCTTGCGAGGCAGAAGACTGTATGCCGCTTTGCGAGTCAGCAGATCCATTTCAGCCAACCTTAATCTGCAGCCGAAACAACCACGCCAGATTTATTTTTGTCCGTTGTATTTTGTGCGGTACATATTTGCTAGCAATAGAGCAACTTGAATAATGGGTTTCATTCATGGTACGTATGCAGATTGAGGATGCTTGCACTGGCCCACGAGAATTCCTTGAGTCCAACTCTTCTAAGCAATTTTGAGGCTAGACTGAGGGGAGGTTCTTCGTCAGGGAAGCTGCGATGAAATGGCTGCGCCCAACCCAAAGAAGGAGGAAAACAACAGGACTCGGACTCAATCATTGTTTTCGGGGTATACCAGTATATCAGCCACTGGCAACTGCTGAGCCAAGTACCATCCACCTATTGATGACCAGCGCTCAGTCAGTGTGTGAATTTGAGCCGGCCCAATGTTCCCAGCAAGGCACCAGCGACCGAACTGAGGAACAACATCACCAACTGTGACGAATTTTTGTCCACCGTTTACACCGCGTGCTGCGTGGAGAACTGCCATGCGGTTGCAGGTCCGGCGAAGAGAGAAGGAATTCTCTCGGTTCTCGTGGCAGCTTTGTTGACACTTGGCTGGTTGAGTCAGGAGCTGGTTTGCACATGTTGGCCGGGGCTGCTAGAGGGTAGCGGGGTTGTTTGGGTCACTCTGCTGTGAAGGCACACGGCACTGTACAATTTGTTGGTGGGCTGTGTCGAGGCTTCAACGGTTCATGTCGCACTCGCTGTGATTCAGCTCCGAAGGAAATTGACTTTGCACCTCGTCGTGCGATGACACCACGAGCAGAAATGAGATGGCATAGTTGGGCGCGCAAGCCGGCAAGCCAGCATGCTGGGAAGCTGATATCCAGGAAGCCAAACTACATATTTTTCAAGGCAAAGTTGTCGCTTTCAAGATACTTACACGTTCCGAAAACAATCCAAAATGTTTTAATGCGCGATGACGCATGAATGATCAGGAATGAACAGCCGCAGATGAGAGTGGCAGCTGAAAACATACAGTGACAGTATGATTTAGTATGTTTTGTGGTGCTACCGTGTTGCCATGTGTTGCCCCGCTTTTTGTGATCCACTGGATGGATTTTGGGCTGAATGAACAACACCCAAATAGGTAAACAGATCTTCACTTCCGGAAGCCACAAAACATGAGGTTTCTCCATGTTTCTGCCCTACCGGTCTGAAGAGCCATCGGCAGCCTCACGATGTTCCACGACTAGATCGTCGGATAAGAGTGGCAAACATCGAATAACATGCATAAACATAAACGTCATAAATCGTGAAACATACATTTTGTGTATTTTTTGTGCGTGTGATTTTTGATTGTTTGCCTTTGGTGCCTGCAGGCGTTTTGCGCAAAAAGGTCATTGTTTGGGAATCAGTGGGAGATTTGTGCACAACATTTCGAGGTTGTTAATCCCATGTTGTTCATTGTACCGGCCATACTACCACAAGTCCCAGAAAGACACCATCATTTTGTTCTCTAGAAAATTGAGTCCCTTGATGTTTGGGAAATTGGATCCCTTTACATCCCTTTACAAACAAACAATCAATTTCAAGATGTGTCATATGTCGTAGCGATTTCACCTAACCTTCTGACATTATGATGTGTTCCAGGATTCTTGTCGGCGCTTGGAGATCCAAATCCATGCAGGCTTGGAAGATGGCCCATCTCTTTGCGGGGTTGAGTGAAGGGTGCTGGAGCATAAGGGACAGGGGGGTTGGATTCAAAAAACCCAAATACGATCATAAACGGGCTTTGTTGAGACAGTTAATATAATGCAATATCTTAAACCCGGTTATAGATCTATTTCTCGAAAACAAACTGGTCCTTCCCAATCATAAACCTCGTGCTCGGTGCTGAAAGATACTTCAGAGACATCATTCTGGCTCGTGGGGTTTTTAAATCCCCATCACGGCAAGTCGTCCATGTCAGGATTTTACCCTTCACAGAGAGGATCATGGAAGGCATTTTGGTTTCGGTTTGGGCTATTGGTGCTTGGTCAATTTATGACCACGTGGCATGGTTTGTGTACTGTAATCATTGATGTGCCGTATTTTGTCGCCACACCGGTGCGAATGTAGCGCACGTCGCAAGATGATTGATCGATTGTAGGGGGGAAGAGACGACAACAGGAGAATGGAGTTGTTAGGAAAGTCTTGCAGGCAGACATGGAGGTAGGACATCTGGTTAAGGTACCATTTTCTCGCCCAAGCCTGTTTGGAATGCCTTTCCACCCCCTTGGCCCTTGGATTCGGAAAGTGCCCCTTTCGCAGAGGAAGCTAAGCTTCAAAGGGTGGCCAGCAATGACCGTAGGGCAATTACTAATTCTGGTAGAAACTTGGCGTCACACAGCCGGCACTCAAACAAACACTTGTAGCTGAGCATCATTTGTTCCTGGTCGTGGCGTAGGACTGAAACGGTGATCATCTCATTTGACCAGGGCCTGCTGATTCCAGCCCAGTCGCTTCCTCACCCGCTCTCACCAGATTCAACTGGACGCTGATTTTTTTGCGCGACAACTTGCCTCCACAACTTGACGGAAGAGTGTTGGCGGTGTACGGAAGAGTGGCATGCGGCTACTGCACTGATTGCAGTTGATTTCACGACCAGACTTGCATCACACATATTCATGTTTCTGTGAGTGTGTGTTTGCGTGTTTTGTGTTGATGACAGATGTTTTCGTGTATTGACTTTGTTTTCGGGTCAGCATGGCATAGTTCATGAATTCATGGCATTTCCGTTTGCCTTTAGACACCGAGGAGGTAGGAAGGCACTCTCACCGACACCTTCCCGAGACAGTGGGTGTCCAACACGTGGCGTGCCTTCCCGAGAACTACCCGACGTGTTGCTGAAACAGATTGAATCGGTGTGTCCAACACGTATTGTACATACAGGGTGTCCATTCCAGATCCCTAAGAACCTGTTTGGAGACCATCTAATACGGATCTCCCATGCTACTTAGGGATCTCCTGCACTACTTAAACATTCATTAAATGTTTTGAACCATATATAGTATATCTCATAGAGGGATCCTGTCTAAGAGTCTACATCTCATATCTAGTTTGGGCTCGTTCTACGAGGGCTGCCTCCAATGCTTGTTGCTCTTTTGTTTGGTATGATTTGTGGTACATCGAACCGCTACCGGGCTCATTGGATCCAAGCCCCTTCAGCATCATGAGCACAGCCCCAGCCATGCAAAAACTTAGGATAGGTCCGATAGGTCTTGGTCTTGGAGGAATTGTCGTTGTTTGCACAGGGAATTCTAGGCCTAGGCATCATAGGCTGTTGAGATACTTAAGGATGATGAACAGCTCCATTGAAGACGCCTGCCACAGACGCACAACGCTGTTTCCGTTTGAGTTTGTACTGTTGCAGCATAGGGAGGTTCAGTCGCCGACACATGCGGTCAAAAGATATGATTGAGATTGGCAGAACAAACCAACATGGAAACATAGTAACTTCATTTAGACAATGGGATGCAATAGGGGGTTAGATTGGAGACTTTCGTGCCCAAGAACGTTTTTAGCTCAGCGAATGCAATTGCCTTGACCGTGACTCAGCGAATTACATATCTTCCCCCAACCTTGGCCAAGCTTGGCGTGCTAAGACCCGCGCTGCTGGCAAGGTGTCCAAGCATCGGGATGCGCAATTGAAAAATGAGGTCAATCATGTAGTCATTGGTTTGGGGCAGTATGCCATGCGCAAATGAACAGACTTGGTGTTAGCAGCTTGTGCCCAGACAAGCCTGCAGACTTCCAATCTGAAATGACCCCAGAATGTCTAAAAGCCTGAGAGTTCAACAACCTGAGCTGCAGGAAGCAATTCTTTCGTTCTGCATTTCCCATACAACATTTCATGTCTGTTCACATCAGTAGTTGGGGTGACAGCCGTGGATCAAGGTAAGGCACCAGGTTCTGGCCACTTGTCCTTCGCCTCAAGAGTTGTTCTGTCTCAAGGCACCTTCAACCACCCGGACTCCTTAGGACCGTTGGTTTTGGATCCCGATGGGTGAGCCTTGTGACAAGCGCGACAAGATGGGATGAATTCTTCGTCCGACCTGTAGGGTCACATTGGCCAGTTGGGCATCCTCGCAATGCCTCGCAAGGCCTCCACTGCCTCGCATCAGTTCTTCGAAATCCATCCACATCCGACCGCCCTTTTGGCCCGAACACTCAGGTTTTATCGAGCTGAATGGTATGGACATCATGGTGCATGTGAATGACTGCAAGCCAGAAGACGTTGAAGCTTGGAGCACTGCAATCAATCATAGCTTAGGGTTAAGAGCCTAATCTCCTGAATCAGATGGGGTTGGTTCCAGAAGAACTGAGCTCAGTGAGGCCGATTTGGAACTGAGTCCATCACTCTTAGGATCAACTGACCCATGTCCAATTGGGACCCTTCTCCACTGAGTCCATCAGTCCAGATGGACTGGCCGCCCACAGCGCCGGCTGAAACATCAGGTCATCGGCGGCACTGATGAGAGGTGTTGCAACACCAAGGGCAAAGGCCAGGCGACACCCATCGAAGGCGATGTGGGACCGTTGGACCGTGCTCGGCTAGGGGACCGGCTGTGTTTTCCGGAAATGATTTCCGGTGGTGAAGCAAAGGGAAGCAAAGACCACCCTATAATATATGTGATTCATTGACTATTTCGTTCAGCATTCCCCTAAGCACTTGCGTATATACTTGAGCTGTCCGCCTGGACCATCCTTGATTTGAGAAGGACCTACCGCGAGGTGCAGTTGGAGGGTCCAGATAGTTTGCAGCTACAACCGGCCCACTCGAAGCAGCAGTCGATTTCCGGTTTTGCTCGTGCTTTTGTGCAACTCTTCCATTCCTAGACACACTTCATGTGCAAGCACTGGACTTTGTGAACTTTGTCCTTTGCAATAGGTTTCAATTCTTCAGACAGTCTGATTGGTTGGTGGACCAAGTCCTGCATCACGTCCCATGCACGGTCAAACTACTACGCTGGAATTTCGGAACCACCCGAAAGAACAACAAAACATCTCAGCGGTAGTTTTATGTAGTTTTTGGCGTGCAACACGCCTCTAAATTGGATTAGGACACGGAAGGGGGTTCCTATCGTTTCTTATATATATATATATATCATATATGTGCTGTATATTACTGTATGTACAAATGCATATGTTGCCGCTTCCGTCAGAATCATCCCTTCCTCTTTGTGATTGCTAGTAGGAGCCCTTCCACGCTGTACCAACATCGTTCAACCGCCGAGGTGCTGGACAACACACGGGTATTGTCAGCCTTCAACGCTAAAGGTCTTTCAGCTCAACATAGGTCTTCCGCGCCGCGGAGCACTCGGGTGACTTGTGTGTCAAGCTTAGCTTGCTTAGGCTCACATGACTTGCAGGAGACGACCTTTGCTCAATGAATGCCATATGTATCATTAAGCATGCCCCTAGAAGCCAAGAAATGGAGATTCCTTCCATGTCAGGGGTACACATGGTCAACAACAGCTGACCAAAACGCTGTGGAATGCTGATTTTTTGAAGAGGCGGATTAAGTTCTCCTACCATGTTCTTCACCCCATAGCGATTTTCCCACCTTCCTTTTTTTCTGGAGGATTCCGAAAGACTGATTGACGCAGCTGAGGATGTTGTTCTCCGGGGAAGTGGCCTACTGGCCTGCCAGGAATAGTTTGCACCACAAAAGAGGTACTGGTGCTTGTGACAGGGTTCAGAGGCCTTCGTCAACCCGCCCGTGGATCTGAGGCTTCGGCTGGATCCAATGCTTGGATGGTTCCCTTGCCTGGGTGGAGCTCACAGATTGTTTACAGATCCGCCCTGTCACAGGGTGTGGGAAGGTGTTTGGCCAAGCAAGTTTGAAGATGCTGAGGAAAGACGATGGTTGTATAACTATTCGTGAGATCCATGGGCTGGGGTCACTTTGTGTGAACTACCAATAATAAACAGTTCTTCGAGGTGACACTTGCGTTTCGACTTGCACCTTCCGAACAGCATTTGCTTCCCACAAGGCCTTCTTTCTTGCCGGGTGGGTCTCAGAAGGTCTCAGTAGCACAACGCTTTGCGCTTTTACTCGCAAGAATTGGTGAAGACGGGTGATTCAGGTCTGCCAGGAGATGGGTCTGGTTGCCGTCAAACCTAGCCGAGATCTCTTCAGAACCTGCAGATTGGGGGTCGTTGTTGTCGGCCATTTTCCTCCAGGCAGTTGGCTTGCAAACCTTTCGGGTTTATATTCCCAAGGGCTGAGACTGTGCTCCATGTATATTGGAGGGGGGTCAATTTACAAGTAGTTCCCGGGCAAGCCGGCGGCGGAAGTTTCCAAAAGAATAAACCTATAGGAAATGGGCATGTGGCAGGCTGAGTCGCCGAGCTGCGATGTTCTTTGACAAAACAAGTTGGAACCGACCAATGGAGCGAAAGCGAAGCAACCACCGTCAACTGTCTCGCACGAAAAAACGTTGTTCATGCAGCATGCATTTTTGCAAAATACAGAATAGAGATGACTCAGCCGCGTACTAAAGTTGTACTACAAAGTCGCCAGTTCTCAGCTTCCAGCTCCACGGCTTGCTCCGCGTACTAGAGTTGTACTACAAAATCGCCAGTTCTCAGCTTCCAGCTCCACAGATAATCCGCGTACTAAAGTTGTACTACAAAGTCGCCAGTTCTCATCTTCCAGCTCCCCAGATACTCCGCGTACTAAAGTTGCACTACAAAGTCGCCAGTTCTCAGCTTCCAGCTCCCCAGATTTCTCCGCGTACTAAAGTTGCACTACAAAGTCGCCAGTTCTCAGCTTCCAGCTCCACAGATTGCTCCGCGCACTAAAGTTGTGCTAGAAAGTCGCCAGTTCTCATCTTCCAGCTCCCCAGGTACTCCGCATACTAAAGTTGTACTACAAAGTCGCCAGTTCTCAGCTTCCAGCTCCACAGATTGCTCCGCGTACTAAAGTTGCACTACAAAAGTCGCCAGTTCTCAGCTTCCAGCTCCACAGATTGCTCCGCGCACTAAAGTTGTACTACAAAGTCGCCAGTTTCTCATCTTCCAGCTCCGCAGATACTCCGCGTACTAAAGTTGTACTACAAAGTCGCCAGTTCTCAGCTTCCAGCTCCACAGATGCTGTGCCTGCCACGAAATCTGCGCATGGAGGTTCACAAAGTGCTGTGCCTGCCACGAAATCTGCACATGGAGGTTCACAAAGTGCTGTGCCTGCCACGAACTCTGCACATGGAGGTTCACAAAGTACTGCGCCTGCCACGAAATCTGCACATGGAGGTTCACAAAGTGCTGCGCCTGCTACGAACTCTGCACCTCGAGGTTCACACAGTGCTGTGCCTGCCACGAAATCTGCACATGGAGGTTCACACAGTGCTGCCCCTGCCACGAAATCTGCACATGGAGGTTTACAAAGTGTTGTGCCTGCCACGAACTCTGCACATGGAGGTTCACAAAGTGCTGTGCCTGCCACGAAATCTGCACATGGAGGTTCACAAATTGCTGTGCCTGCCACGAAATCTGCGCATCGAGGTTGACAAAGTGCTGTGCCTGCCACGAAATCTGCACATGGATCCCAAAGTGCTGTGCCTGCCACGAAATCTGCACATGGAGGTTCACAAAGTGCTGCGCCTGCCACGAAATCTGCAGATCGAGGTTGACAAAGTGCTGTGCCTGCCACGAACTCTGCACATGGAGGTTCACAAAGTGCTGTGCCTGCCACGAAATCTGCACAAGGTTCACAAAGTACTGCGCCTGTCACGAAATCTGCACATGGAGGTTCACAAAGTGCTGTGCCTGCCACGAAATCTGCACTTCAAGAAACAACTGAAACCTCTATTGACAATGGAGGGACGATTCCAAGCATGATCCGACCATGATCCGAGACCGTCTCGCAACCGTCGTTCCGCGGAGCTTCCCCGTCGAGGTTCGGAGAAGCATGGAGTATGGAGGTTCACAAAGTGCTGTGCCTGCTACGAACTCTGCACATGGAGGTTCACAAAGTAATGCGCCTGCCACGAAATCTGCACATCGAGGTTCACAAAGTGCTGTGCCTGCCACGAACTCTGCACATGGAGGTTCACACAGTGCTGCGCCTGCCAGTTTACAAAGTGCTGTGCTTGCCACGAAATCTGCGCATGGAGGTTCGCAAAGTGCTGTGCCTGCCACGAAATCTGCACATGGAGGTTCACAAAGCGCTGCGCCTGCCACGAAATCTGCACCTCGAGGTTCACACAGTGCTGTGCCTGCCACGAAATCTGCACATCGAGGTTCACACACACTGTGCCTGCCACGAAATCTGCACATGGAGGTTCGCACGGTGCTGCGCCTGCCACGAAATCTCACGAAGTGCTGCACCTGCCACGAAGTCTGCGCATGGAGGTTCACAAAGTGTTTCGCCTGCCACGAAATCTGCACTCCAAGAAACAACTGAAAGCTCTAATCACAATGTGACGATTCCGAGCATGATCCGAGCATGACCCGAGACCGTCTCGCAACCGTCGTTCCGCGGAGCTTCCCCGTCGAGGTTCGGAGAAGCATGCCGAACCACAAAGTGCTGTGCCTGCCACGAAATCTGCACATGGAGGTTCACTATATAAGTAATGCGCCTGCCACGAAATCTGCACATGGATGTTCACAAAGTGCTGCCCCTGCCACGAACTCTGCACATGGAGGTTCACAAAGTGCTGTGCCAGTGGTGTATGATGAATGATGTATTGATGAGTGGTGTATGATGAGTGGTGGTGTATGATGAGTGGTGTATGATGAGTGGTGTCTGATGAGTGGTGTATGATGAGTGGTGCATGATGAGTGGTGTATGATGAGTGGTGTATGATGAGTGGTGTATGAT